GTCCTCAGCCACGGCCTGAGGAACTGGACTGTTGTTGTTGCTGCTGTGGGTAAGGTGTAAAACCACCATGTCCACGATGATTTCCTCTGCAATTTCCACAACCTCTGCATCCTCTGTGGAATGATCCAGAACTGCCAGAAGAACCACCTCCATGGTGATCCTGTGTATTGTGCCCACCATGGCAAATTTGACAAAGCAGTGGCTTATTCATGCAAGCAAGAACAGAATTTGACTCTTACTTGACAGTAGTAGTGCCTGAGGTAGAAGGTTTCTCCTGCTGAGGAAGCAGGGACTTTCTGGATTTATGACTCCAGACTTCCATCATGTGAGGTATGACAGTATCAGCAGATAATTGTGCAGCAGCAATAGAGGAAAGGATATTGATGGGTGCCTGTTCCCAGGCTTGGGACATGGAATGGATGAGGATGAGGGCTTTCATTTTATCATTGAGATCTATGCCCTGGCCTTGAATAGTGGCTATAATCATGGTGATCTTGGAGATCTTCAACATGATGTCATCCTTAGGTTTGATCTGAATACAGATCAACCTTTGAAATTCCATGAAAGTTGCCATGGTGGAAGGTTCGCCATATTTGGACTTGAGTTCATCCCACTTTTTTTTGGAAGTGTCCTTCCCATCAATAGACATTGCGATCATTGGATCGCAGTATAGCATAATGATTCCTTGTGCACAAGTATCAGAGATGTGCCAAGGTTCCTGCTGCATGACATCAGTGGGTAAAGGTTTTGCACCACTGACAATATTCATAATGCTGAGTGTTTGCATATAGGCTTTCATAAGAACAAACCAAGAGGCATAATTGACTCCGTTGAGTTTCAGAATCTGTTTGGACAATCCTTCAGACATCTTCAGAAGTCCATTAGCAAGTGTTTGAAAAGGAATGACTTGACAGGATGAGTCAAATGTGATGGGGGATTTAATAAATGATCCACTTGGCATTTTGGTCTGTGAGCAGAAGCTCTAGCAGATTGGGACTTGCAATTACAATGAGGTTTGGGAATATGTGGACAAGGATTTCGCCATTCCTTTATGATAGAAGTGCCTCTCTCTGTGAATCTCTGTAAGGAAATGCAAGAGTTGTTTCTTTCAAGGAGATCAAATTCTAAGGGACCAAAATAGTGGTACCTGAAGAAACTCCATGCCATGTCATGTAGCAGAAGACCATTCCTTGTGAACCCTAAAAAAGGTTTGGCACAACTATATGGAAAAGGAAAACAGATTTGATGATGGCAAGATCCAATACATCCATATCATACAATTATTTCAAATGAAGAATATGAGTCCCCAATGATACAACTATCAGTTGCCTTGTGGTAACACCCTCCAGATGCATATGGTACATCTGCTGTACTGGGAAGAGGATAGGAGTGCATGAGTGGCACAAGAGCTGTAGCATAAACTCTGCAGCTTCATGGCTGAGCAAGATAGTTGAAATCACCTTTCTCCATGGTATGTTCGAGATCTCAAAGAACATCCTCCAAGGATGGCCAGTAAGCATATTCTCATCTACTGGTTGCTGTAATCCATCCAAGATGGTGATTAGCAGTTGAGTATCTTCCAACTGTACCCATATCTCCTTGTAACTTAAACTCTCAGCAGAAGGCAAAGAGTTTCTCATCAAATCTATCTCCACCAATTCATCTTTCGTGGAACCACCTAGGGATGCACCAGATGTCTGTGGTGCCATCAGCCCAAATTCCTTGGAAATGGCACTCAAGATGTTTGAGCCAAACCCGAAGAGGCAGGATGATCCCACACAACTTGGGACCAAAGAGGATGTGGGCATTATAGGTGACATAGACGAAGGTGTCATGAGTAACCATGAAGGCAGGGATGGAGAAGAGCAAAGGATCTTCATAAGTCACTGAGGGAAGATCACAGCCATTCCAGTTAGCAATGGCATGAGGAGAGGAAAAATGGGAAAGTTTAGGAGCAAAGTCAGTGAAATAGCCATGATATGTGACATGAATTCTGGGAGAGAAATACAGTGAGTCAAAGCCAGGAAAGTGGGCATGAGGTGCCATGCTGTTTCCATGACTGACAATGGAACCAAGTAGGTTGCCATTTGAAGAACACCATGGAAGAAGGGACAGCTTCACACCACAAGCTACAGTCTCATACATACAGCATCTCCATAAACTCTATGATCTCTTTAACTGCATACTTCCTCCATTTAGCCCCCTCATACATTCCATCATGGTGTTCAGCGACTTGAGTTTCCAGATGTTTAGCAATGACCAATGACATACTTTTTAGAGTAAATTAGTTCCCATAATTAAGCAAAGAATGGCACTGTCACACACCAAAGGTGTTTGGTGAGGTGGACATGGATACAGCTGATGAATGGAGATGAAGACCATAGCCCTCATGCGAAGAAGGACAGCCAGCAATGTTGGCAGTCATCCCTCACACAAGAACAGGTTGTCAGTGCCAAAGAAAAAGGAGGAGGCAAGTTAAGTGCCAATAAAATTCTTAAGTGCCCATGTACGGCATTCTGGTTTTTGACATATCTCCACTGTTTCCGCAGATACCAAGACCATTCCCACACTCGCTTGTAGTGCTCAGCCACACAATCCTACTGTCCAAAATTGGAAAGGATTTGTGCACTCCACATGTTGCTACAGCACTCCCTCCAAAAGACACTCATTTCACTAATTCTTCTGATATGGCCACCTCCACATCAATCATTTCACTTGTCCCCTTTGCTAGGGACCATGGCTACATATATCTACCAGGAGTTCCTACCAGCTTCCATCCTGAAGCATCCTGGTACATCCCACCCTTGTCTGTGCCCTCTCAGCCCATCCAGCTTGGACAGCATGTTCTTTTTGTCAGTATGACCTCTAGGAGGACATTCTTTGGTTGCCTCAGGTCTGTCATTTGCTTGGAAAGGTCTTATGTGGTCATTTCAGTCTCTCCAGTCCAAGAAGCATATGGATCCTTCCTCCCTGCTCCCTGCAATGTCTTCATACCAGTCTCATCCATCATTCTTCCAAGATTGTGACAGCTACAGTATAATCTACTGTTCTCCACTCTCCCTGATCACATCCATGACAAGTATGATGCACATCTTGCCTCCTTGTTGCAAGATACAGCAGAAGACACTCCCCCTTCATCCTCTCTTCCAACAGAGCCTCATTCATGAAGTTTTTATTTGCTTCACTGAGAGGATGGTTTGGGGGGGAAAGTTGTGATCCCCTATGCTCCTGTCACCCCACAGACCCCCAAAGCTTGACCCCTGTTGACATCTGACTCACCCTGTCCACTTTTGGATGTACTATATTGGCATCAGATCAGCACTGCCTCTCTGTCATCCCACTTTGGCCTAGAAGTGACCTCTTTGAGATGTGACATGCACAGCCTCCCCCTAATGCAATTCCAGTGTGCTTTCCCAGTTCCTGGCATTACTTGACTCATACTTTGATGTTTTGACTGTCTTTGACTCACCTATTGCAGATACTTACCAATCTTTTGACTTTGCTTACTGATTCTTCACTTTTTTGGCTTGCTAATCCTTACCAATGCTTACCAATGCTTTCCAAGATGATTACCCATCACTTACATTCCTTACTCATCAGTTACCAATCACTTTCCAAGTGTTTGCACCTTGTTTTCCAAGGGCAACACCCCTGTACTGTATATAAATCACTGTACTTAGATAGCAAAAAGGGAGAAGACATCAGAGAGCCCCTCTTGCTCACATTTTATCATCACTCAGTAATTCATTCAGCAGCTTCAATAGTTGAGACTTTATTAAGGGTCTAACTATTGTCTACTTTGCTTATCCTTGTCTATCATCAATATACTTTTCTCTAAGCCCTCCCTGAGCTCAGTGCAGCTTAGGACATCGAATTAAGTCACCATCTATCCTTCTGTAGGCTGACAGCAGTCTACCCTATTTCTTTCTCTTGCATTCCTGAAATAGCACCTAGAATATATGCCTGCAATGTTGCAGGCCACTACCGCTGCCCTTGTAATATCATAATGGTGGCATGGCACCCCTCAAGTACCATTGTCATAGTCCAGCAAGCCTCTACCGCATATGTAACTTGTACTGCACAATGTCACTGTTATAGATTATGTAGAACTAGCATCCTGTGTCCTAGATTTTGCATGAGGTGCTTGCTACTAGTCTTGCTGCAAGGTGGTGGATTTGGGGTAGGCCATTGAATGTTCCAGCCAGTTAGTGGAAGTTTGACGAACTTGCACAACCCAAAGGGGCCATGTTTTGTGAAGTGGGGTGTAGTCAACAGGGCTAATCTGGCATGAGCCAGATTGGACAGAAAGTAGCCAGTGTCATGGTGGGCATCACTGCAGAAATGACCTTTCATGTGAGACTAATTGACTTGGTGTGGTCGCCGTTACCATCTATGGCCAAAGCTTTCAGCCACCTTTCAGTAATTACAGCTCCATCCCCTGCAGGTGAAGTTTCCACCCACAGCCCTGGTGAGATGGTGGTCAACCTGTTCCTGTCAGTAGGCTGATTCTCATAGTTACCCTTTCCTTCTCCTGACCTATCTCGCTCATCTTGCGATCTTGTGTTTTGTCTTGTTTGCCATGATTTTCTCTGTATGATAGGATGTGCACCATTTACTCCGTAATTCATCCAGGCTGCAGTCGCCACATCAGTAAGCAGATAGATGGTTTAAATCTGTCACTGACTGGTTTTGACCATGATCCCACCATTCCCTGCCCCCCTGATGTGTAGCCTTTCTTCACCATTTCACTCTCGCTGTGCTATGTCCATCCAGTGTCTGTCTTCTGGCTAATCTCCCATGTTTACTTGAGGTCTCTTGCAGACATCCCCAGAGACCGCCCCCCTGCATGACCTTGACAATGATCCATCTGCCTACTACTTTACACTATGGACAGGCAGGTGTGACACGGTCAAGTTGTGGTCATCCCTGTATCTTGAGCTAGCAAGCAGCTCTGCTAGGTCAGTAGTGGCTCAGACATGGCATAGTTGTCGATGGACCTCTCACAAGCAAAAAACTTCCATGTTGTCATGATCGACCAGTTGGACATTCTGTACCTCAGAACTGAACAGTGATTTGTGTGTCTTCTTGATCCATGTTGCATACTCTTGCTGATGTACCTGCACAGCAGATGTGAGAGGCATATCACATTCACCCCTAAATGTGTTCCTCCTCTCCCTCCTAAGCTTGCTGTGTCAATCATGCCCCGGCGACCTTTGCAAGAGCCTCTCCGAAGCCAGTGCCAATATTGACTCACTCCCAGACCCTCTGGCAGTGTCCTCATCAGTAGGTATGACTTTACTACCCAACAACCCTCTGAGTGCAGAGTCGCAGTCACCTTCCTCCTTGCCAATGCAGAAAGGAACAAGGACAGCACCTCCAAGCCCTTCACATTCTGGACTGGTGCAACCATCATGTCCATATCTTTCACTTGTGCTCTCCACATCCTGGTATACAACACACTTGTCTCATCACCTCATCCACCCTGATCTTCCCATTGCCACACATCTCACTCAGTTCCTCTTGTCGAGTACAATTCATCATTGCTCTCACCATCACCCATCTCTCCTCATTCACCAGTGTTCTCAGACAGTGGAGCAGACACACATAAGCTTCATCACCAGCATTGCATGTCTTCACCTGCATGCTCAGAAAGTATCACCTCATCAGCCAGAATGCAGAGTAGAATGGAGGGGAAGATTGGGATTGCAGGGCCATGGGTGTGGAGGTGGACACAGAAAGAGTAACTTCATGAGTATGAGCAATGGTGAGGATGAAGAGGGTGACAGTGAGAGCAACTGACAGGATATAATTGTTACTTGCCCTGGGCGAGAGGAGATGCGGCTTGCACTGACCATTTGTGTTGAGGATGTGGGCTCAATGGGGGATGTTGAGGATGAAGTGTTGGAAATATCATAATATATCCAACATCTAGATTCATCTAGACATACATCAGTAAAGCTAAGCATTCAAAAACTGTCTAATGTGCATGCTGTAATTTGGCTGAATTTACTGATGTACATGTTTTGATACATGTGTTATATCACATGACTTGCCTTAGCAATCAGCTCCACAGTGATGTCATAATGACATCACTCATTGCATCATATTCCATAGCATTCCCTGCTATTCCTTACTATACATAGTAACAGTTTCCATATACATTACTGGTCCATGCATATGGAAACATGTATATAAACTCAGGGATTTTGACCCTGGTTACTTATCAAATTCTATATTCATTCTACTGTTCTACCAAGAACAAGAGCCTTTAAAAACTCTACCCAAAACCTACTTGCTAACTCAAGTTATAAGGCAAGTGCTTTTGTCTTTGCTCTTTGTACTGTAGCCCATCCTCTGTGCTGTGAGTCAAAGTGTGGTTCAGTGGTGAAAACCAACCAAAACCAACCCAAAAGACAAAAAGAGCAAGTGGTGGTGTGCCTATGCAGTACCTAGATGGTAGAACCTTTGATTTGGGTGGGTTTTTGCAAGCTACAACACTCAAAGAGGAGTGCTGAGGGTTGGGGGTGCTCCTGACAAAGAAGGAGCAGTTTCTGTCAAGTGTGCAATACACAAGATTATGCTTACCTTGAGAGCAAGCCACTGTATTGGAGGATAGAAACATCATGAAGTTGGAGAACAAAACAGAGGACCTCAAATGACATACCCTTTCAAGACATTCCATATGCTGTAGGATTGTGTTGAGCACTAAGTACCACAACCACCAGTGGCATCGAACTCACGAAAATATGGTGACACGGGGCCACACTATAACTCTTCTTGACGCCTACCTTTTGCAGC